CCTTCTGATCCCTTGGCCCCGAAACCCACATCTCTCCTGTCGGCCTCCGTTAACGAGGTGGCCGACCGTATCGAGGGTGCCCTCCTCGAGGATGATCGGAAGAAGGCCAACCTCACGCTGCCCGAGGTCGGCGACAGACTTGTGCAGTGGTTTGCTCAGGTATTACTTCTCTAACTCTACTCTGGCTCTTCTCCTTTTCCTTTGTTGATTTATGCGTTGAATGGCCTTGCCTTTTTTGTTGATAGGGCTTGGTCGATTTTCTGCCACTGGCCAAGGAAGCTCGAGACAGCTCGGTCAAGTCGATCAAGGATCTCGAGAACACTGTTGGCTATCTGCAGGACAAAAATTTTACCCTCCTGCAGCATAACGCCAAGCTCCGCGAGACGCAGACGGAACAGAAAACTGAGTTCGACGTCAAGATTAAATCTCTCGACGAAGAACTTAGTAAAAAAGAAAAAGCTCTCGCGGAGAGAGATACCACTCTCGCTGCCAATGAGGCTGTCGTGGCAGAGAAGGAGGCCGCCATAAGGGAGAAAGAAGCAGTGCTCGAGCAAGAGCGGGTTGCTCGAGCTGAGGCGGAGAAGGCTCGAGCTGATGCCGAGAAGGCCCGGGCAGAGGCAAAAAAGGCTCAGGCTGAAGCATAAAGAGCTCGGGCTGAGATAGAAGCCGCCTTGGCCAAAGAAAGGGCTGCCCATGCCGGGGATAAACAAAGATATGCAAATGCCACTGCTCTTCGAGCTCGGCAGATGCTTTGGGCGACAACCACTGGGCAGCTCTTCCTCCGCGAACACCGTGCGCAAGTGGTGGCTGACTTCATGCAGTCACCACAATATTTAAAGGAGTTGCAAGATTTTGGGGTAGACTGCTTTCAGTTTGCCCTGCAAAAGGCCGGGGAGCAGATTGCTGAAGACGATTTCGAGCAGCTCGACCCCTTGGCTATTTGGGATGCTTTGCCTAAGGTACCCTCGAGCTTCTGCGGGGACCCTTCCTTGCCAGCCGAGCATGAATGGTGGTCGGGCCAGCTCGAAAGAACCTTAGGCCGATCAGAGACTCTAAAGAAGACCTTCGCTCTGCCCGATGATACTGCTCCTCCAGCTGCCATGTTGGTCGCACTGGCTGAATCTGTTCGACAGCGTCCTCTCAATGAAGCCTGCGATTCGACCTCTGGCACCGGCCTTCAGCTCGACCCTAATGCCAGCTCGAGCAACGCAGACTCCGTCGCCGCTCCTCCGCCATAAATTAATGTTGTATTTTTCGTTTTATTTTTCTCGAATCGGACTATGTACCTTAATGGATTTTGTAATGTTCTTGGAATGAAAATGCTTTTGCTTTCAGCTTGTCTTTATCTTCTTTATCTTCTACAATATTTGCGAGTAGTTAGACTTAATGCTTTTGTTGTGACTCTTCGATATGGAGGACTGAGGCAAACTTCGAAGTAGGATTGATGTAGACTTTAATATATGATCAGATAGCTTTTACTGGCCGATCTATTCTTCGTTTATCGGATCGGTGTTTGTGTGTTTGTCTCATAACCGCTTAAATACCTTACACTTTAACGCATGTATATACACACGCCCCCCCTGGAGGTGGTCGGCGCGTGCGACCGTCCAGCCTCGAGGCCTTAAACACGACGGGTTTTAGAATCTTGAACACATGCCCACCCTTGGAGGTGGT